ATTTATAAAATGTAGAGTTAAAATGTTTGATGAAGCCGTTCAGACAAATACTTTTGTAATATTACTATTCATTGAAAATATATACTTTCTCATGTCCACTGTCCACATGTTGTCCGAGTTTGGGCCACATGTTGGGAAACCCTGAGAGCGGGATCTGTCTGTCTGGTTTTGTGTCATGATGCACTGTCCACTGTGGCCACAGGATGGCGATGGTGCACAGAGAATGCAGCCTTAAAGGATTCACCTCGCTTCTTATGACCTCACCCCTAAACGTCACTTTGTGTCTTTTACAGCAGCGCACAAGTTCATGAATAATGAAGATCAAAACTAGACATAATTTAATGTTCAGGTGCTTACAATGTCTCCATAAAGATAACATGAGTGTCCAACAGAAGAGTCTAAAGTCACATGAACGAGACCACATCTGTCTTCATCTCAGTAGAATGTTCTCTTTTGTGTAAGAGAGACCCCTGTGAGTCACTTTTTGCCTCTTCGGGCTGAAAGCTGAGTGAGGGCGGTCCTCTCTTTTTCACTTTACTGTCCGAAAAAGCTGATAAAGATGTGATAGAGGCCAACATTTTTCTGCTTGCATTTTTGTGCTATACAAATAAACTTACGTAGACGTACTCTTGCAGAACACGAGCTGACGTAAAACTGACACAGACTTATGCAACAATAGAAAGGTGTGTCTTCACTGGAGACGAGAATGTTGACATGACCTGAGGCTGTGTCTGTCACCAAACAGAGGGGCCAAAGAGAGAAACCAGAGAGAGGGAGAGAGGCCAGAGAGAGAGAGAGAGAGGGAGAGAGAGCAGAGAGAGGGGCCGAGGGAGAGAGCAGAGAGAGAGAGAGAGGCCAGAGAGAGAGCAGAGAGAGAGCAGTAAGAGACCAAACAGAGGGGCCAGAGAGAGAGAAACCAGAGAGAGGGAGAGAGAGAGGCTAGAGAGAGAGCAGAGAGAGGCCAGAGAGAGAGAGAGCAGAGAGAGAGAGGCCAGAGAGAGAGCAGAGAGAGAGCAGTAAGAGACCAAACAGAGGGGCCAGAGAGAGAGAAACCAGAGAGAGGGAGAGAGAGAGGCTAGAGAGAGAGCAGAGAGAGGCCAGAGAGAGAGAGAGCAGAGAGAGGGGCCAGAGAGAGAGCAGAGAGAGAGCAGTAAGAGACCAAACAGAGGGGCCAGATAGAGAGAAACCAGAGAGAGGGAGAGAGAGAGGCTAGAGAGAGAGCAGAGAGAGGCCAGAGAGAGAGAGCAGAGAGAGAGAGAGAGAGAGAGAGAGAGCAGAGAGAGAGAGAGAGAGAGAGAGAGCAGAGAGAGCAGAGAGAGAGCAGATAGAGACCAAACAGAGGGGCCAGATAGAGAGAAACCAGAGAGAGGAGCAGAGAGAGAGAGCAGATAAAAAGACCAAACAGAGAGTCCAGAGAGAGAGTCTAGAGAGAGCAGAGAGAGAGGGACCAAACAGAGGGACCAGAGAGAGAGGGAGAGACCAGAGAGAGAGAGACCAGAAATCAGGTCGATCCGAGAGTCCAGAGAGACCAGAGGGACCAGAGAGAGAAACAAGAGAGAGATACCAGAGAGGGACCAGAGAGAGAGAGGAGTTCTGTTCCAGTGAAAGTGCTCTCTCATGTTTCCTCAGGAGGCGCCGAAGTCGACTTTGATCTGAGTGAAGGAGGGACCAGAGAGAGGTGACGCTGCACGTGTGGAGCTGCAGTCTGAGGGCTACTCTCACACGACCACAGCCACAACATCCGCTGTTATTATGAAAAGTGAATGTGCAACTTTGATTGCGACACCAGCAACAATCTTATAGCAAGTTTATTTGTTTTGCATAGTTCACCGACAAGTAACTCGAAGTGATGATCAAAACAAGATACTACTCCGCATTATTTATTTAATTAATGATAAAATAATTCTGAAGATACTATACTAACAGTACAACATTTGTATGACTGCTAGACCGAGAGAGACACCAGAGGAGAAAGAGAAAGAAGGACACCAGAAAGAGAAGAAAGACAAGAAAGAGACTAAAGAGAGAAAAAGAGACCAGAAAGAGAGACTAGGGAGAACAGAGACACCAGAGAGAGACAGAGAGAGCGGGAGACCAGAAAAAGAGAAGGACACCAGAAAAAAATGAAAAAGAGAGAGATAGAAGAAAGACACCAGAGTGAGAGAAAGAGACTAGAGAGAGAAAAAGATGGACCAGAGAGAGAGAGAGAGAGAGAGAGAGAATCAGACCAGAGAGACCAGAGAGAGAGAGAGAATGGCACCAGACTTTGAGATCTAATAAGAGGCATATACTTTTGTCACGTAGTAAATCTTTTGAGTTTTGAAAGTCCGGTCAGGCACATGACGTGTGTGAATGTCAATGTCACAGTCTGTGCAGGTGGGCCTCTACGTGCAGCTCCACTTCTGCAGAATTACACCCTCCGGGAAAAGTCAGTCACCGCTGGATCTCTCACTCCTCCCGTGGAAACTTTCAAACATGCCCTGGTCCTGGAGCCTCCTCCCCGGTCACCAGCTGCCAGTCCCCCCGGTGTAAGGTGCTCGTTCCTCGGCTTCACTCACCGCTTCCACCTCGGGACCTGATCCATGTTCGGCGACGTGGACCCAGAGACACCCGGGGACAGAGGCTCTGCTCGGGACTGAGAAGAGCCACGGACCCCGGGCTCGGACGGGTGGATTTCCCCGGGGTTAAGCATTCTAATTCGGATCGAAGTGATGAGAATGTCCGCTATGGAAGCTACCTTTAAAGTGGCCTTAAAGAGAGAGCCGCAGCTTCGCACCGCGGAGGTAAGATTGGACTAATCTTTGACAACGCACTGTTTTTGGCTGTGGAACTTGTTGTGGAAGGAAAATAAGCTTCACAACTTTGATATTTTCTTTGGTGTTGGCTTAAATCACAGCTTGAGCTTGTCACAGTGGGGTTCCATGCAGGCGAATGCAGGTATATGCTAATGAGCACAGGGTTAAGCTAGCTGTCAGCGTTTCCACAGCAGAACACGTGGGCTTTAGCTGCTAGCATCAAACTTACTGTCTGAAAGTTACTAACGTGGTCTTATAAGTGTTTATGGTGGTTTTGCAAAATAATGGGGATTTGGTTTGAGAGAGAGCAGGAGAGAGAGAGAGAGAGGCCAGAGAGAGAGAGAGAGAGGCCAGAGAGAGAGAGAGGGGGGCCAGGAGAGAGAGAGAGAGGGGGGCCAGAGAGAGAGAGAGGCCAGAGAGAGAGAGAGAGAGGCCAGAGAGAGAGAGAGAGAGGCCAGAGAGAGAGAGAGGGGGGCCAGAGAGAGAGAGAGGGGGGCCAGAGAGAGAGAGAGAGAGAGAGAGGGGGCCAGAGAGAGAGAGAGAGGCCAGAGAGAGAGAGAGGGAGGCCAGAGAGAGAGAGAGAGGGGGGCCAGAGAGAGAGAGAGGGGGGCCAGAGAGAGAGAGAGAGGGGGGCCAGAGAGAGAGAGAGCAGAGAGAGAGAGAGGGGCCAGAGAGAGAGAGAGAGAGAGGCCAGAGGGGGAGAGAGAGAGAGAGGGGGGCCAGAGAGAGAGAGAGAGGGGGCCAGAGAGAGAGAGAGGGGGGCCAGAGAGAGAGAGAGAGGGGGGCCAGAGAGAGAGAGAGGGGGGCCAGAGAGAGGGGGGGCCAGAGAGAGAGAGAGAGGGGGCCAGAGAGAGAGAGAGAGGGGGGCCAGAGAGAGAGAGAGAGAGGGGGCCAGAGAGAGAGAGAGAGGGGGCCAGAGAGAGAGAGAGGGGGGCCAGAGAGAGAGAGAGAGGGCCAGGAGAGAGAGAGAGGGAGAGAGAGAGGGGGGCCAGAGAGAGAGAGAGGGGGCCAGAGAGAGAGAGAGGGGGCCAGAGAGAGAGAGGGGGCCAGAGAGGGGGGGCCAGAGAGAGAGAGAGGGGGGGCCAGAGAGGAGAGAGCAGAGAGGGGGGCCAGAGAGAGAGAGAGGGGGGCCAGAGAGAGAGAGAGAGGGGGCCAGAGAGAGAGAGAGAGGGGGGCCAGAGAGAGAGAGAGAGAGGCCAGAGAGAGAGAGAGGGGGGCCAGAGAGAGAGAGAGGGGGAGCCAGAGAGAGAGAGAGAGGGGGGCCAGAGAGAGAGAGAGAGAGGGGCCAGAGAGAGAGAGAGGGGGCCAGAGAGAGAGAGAGGGGAGCCAGAGAGAGAGAGAGGGGGGCCAGAGAGAGAGAGAGAGAGGGGGGCCAGAGAGAGAGAGAGAGAGGCCAGAGAGAGAGAGAGGGGGGCCAGAGAGAGAGAGAGAGGGGGGCCAGAGAGAGAGAGAGAGGGGGGACCAGAGAGAGAGAGAGAGGGGGGCCAGAGAGAGAGAGAGAGGGGGACCAGAGAGAGAGAGAGAGGGGGGCCAGAAAGAGAGAGAGAGGGGGGCCAGAGAGAGAGAGAGGGGGGCCAGAGAGAGAGAGAGAGGGGGGCCAGAGAGAGAGAGAGAGAGGGGCCGAGAGAGAGAGAGAGGGGGGCCAGAGAGAGAGGCCAGAGAGGGGGGCCAGAGAGAGAGAGAGGGGGGCCAGAGAGAGAGAGAGAGAGAGGCCAGAGAGAGAGAGAGGGGGGCCAGAGAGAGAGAGAGTGGGGGGCCAGAGAGAGAGAGAGAGGCCAGAGAGAGAGAGAGAGGGGGGCCAGAGAGAGAGAGAGAGGGGGAGCCAGAGAGAGAGAGAGGGGGGCCAGAGAGAGAGAGAGAGGGGGGGCCAGAGAGAGAGAGAGGGGGGGCCAGAGAGAGAGAGAGGCCAGAGAGAGAGAGAGGGGGGCCAGAGAGAGAGAGGGGCCAGAGAGAGAGGGGGGCCAGAGAGAGAGAGAGGGGGGGCCAGAGAGAGAGAGGGGGGGGCCAGAGAGAGAGGCCAGAGAGGGGGGCCAGAGAGAGAGAGAGAGGGGGACCAGAGAGGGGGGCCAGAGAGAGAGGCCAGAGAGAGAGGCCAGAGAGAGAGGCCAGAGAGAGAGGCCAGAGAGAGAGGCCAGAGAGAGAGGCCAGAGAGAGAGGCCAGAGAGAGAGGCCAGAGAGAGAGGCCAGAGAGAGAGGCCAGAGAGAGAGACCAGAGAGAGAGAGAGAGAGGCCAGAGAGAGAGAGAGAGAGAGAGAGAGAGGCCAGAGAGAGAGAGGCCAGAGAGAGAGAGAGGTCAGAGAGAGAGAGAGGTCAGAGAGAGAGAGAGGTCAGAGAGAGAGAGAGAGGCCAGAGAGAGAGAGGCCAGAGAGAGAGAGAGGCCAGAGAGAGAGAGAGGCCAGAGAGAGAGAGGCCAGAGAGAGAGAGGCCAGAGAGAGAGAGGCCAGAGAGAGAGAGGCCAGAGAGAGAGAGGCCAGAGAGAGAGAGGCCAGAGAGAGAGAGAGGCCAGAGAGAGAGAGAGGCCAGAGAGAGGGAGAGAGAGGCCAGAGAGAGGGAGAGAGAGGCCAGAGAGAGGGAGAGAGAGGCCAGAGAGGGAGGCCAGAGAGAGGGAGAGGCCAGAGAGAGAGAGAGGCCAGAGAGAGAGAGAGGCCAGAGAGAGAGAGAGGCCAGAGAGAGAGAGAGGCCAGAGAGAGAGAGAGGCCAGAGAGAGAGAGGCCAGAGAGAGACCATAGAGAAGTTTTCTAGTCTCCACCTGTGGCCCTGGCGTCATCCCCCTGGAGCATGTTTGGTCTCTTCAAAAGGCCCTTGTCCAACAGCTGATCTGTGTTTGTTTGTGCAGCAGCAGAAGTTAAAAGACTCTTTGACACATTTCAGACGCTGCTTTCTGGTCCACAAATACCATGTGTTCTAAACCTGACAGAGACATGTGGAGTGGAGTCAGGACCGAGACCCAGGACCGAGGCTGTAGACCCAGGACCGAGGCTGTAGACCCAGGACCGTGTCTGTAGACCCAGGCTGTAGACCAGGACCGAGGCTGTAGACCCAGGACCGAGGCTGTAGACCCAGGACCGAGGCTGTAGTCCCAGGACCGAGGCTGTAGTCCCAGGACCGAGGATGTAGTCCCAGGACCGAGGCTGTAGTCCCAGGACCGAGGCTGTAGTCCCAGGACCGAGGCTGTAGACCCAGGACCGAGGCTGTAGACCCAGGACCGAGGCTGTAGTCCCAGGACTGAGGCTGTAGACCTAGGACCCAGGACAGAGGCTGTAGACCCAGGACTGAGGCTGTAGACCCAGGACCCAGGACTGAGGCTGTAGACCCAGGACCGAGGCTGTAGACCCAGGACCGAGGCTGTAGACCCAGGACCCAGGACCGAGGCTGTAGTCCCAGGACCGAGGCTGTAGTCCCAGGACCGAGGCTGTAGTCCCAGGACCGAGGCTGTAGTCCCAGGACCGAGGCTGTAGTCCCAGGACCGAGGCTGTAGACCCAGGACCCAGGACCGAGGCTGTAGACCCAGGACCGAGGCTGTAGACCCAGGACCGAGGCTGTAGACCCAGGACCGAAGCTGTAGACCCAGGACCGAGGCTGTAGACCCAGAACCGAGGCTGTAGACCCAGAACCGAGGCTGTAGACCCAGAACCGAGGCTGTAGACCCAGAACCGAGGCTGTAGACCCAGAACCGAGGCTGTAGACCCTGGACCAAGGCTGTAGACCGAGGCTGTAGACCCAGGACCGTGGCTGTAGACCCAGGACCGAGGCTGTAGACCCTGGACCGAGGCTGTAGACCCTGGACCGAGGCTGTAGACCCTGGACCGAGGCTGTAGACCCTGGACCGAGGCTGTAGACCCTGGACCGAGGCTGTAGACCGAGGCTGTAGACCCAGGACCGTGGCTGTAGACCCAGGACCGTGGCTGTAGACCCAGGACCGTGGCTGTAGACCCAGGACCGTGGCTGTAGACCCAGGACCGTGGCTGTAGACCCAGGACCGTGGCTGTAGACCCAGGACCGTGGCTGTAGACCCAGGACCGTGGCTGTAGACCCAGGACCCGAGGCTGTTGTTGTGCTGTAGTTCAAGGTTGTCATGTTAAAGAACAGTGTGGTGTGAAGACCTGCTCTCGCTTCACGGCTTCATGACAAATATGCGCTGCTCTTTGATCTGTGTGTTTTGTGCTGAATCTTTAAATATTTTGTTTTTACATTTTAACTTTATGGATGAGAAGAGACATAGCTGGAAATGGAATAGATAATAATAATAATAATAATAATTAATAACGGCTATAGGTCCTTGTTGATAAGTGGCTTCTATCACCATAGTTTTCATATGCATGTCTTTCTCTGGTCTCTCTCTCTGGACTCTCTCGTCTCTTTCTATGCTCTGTCTCTCTCTCTGGTCTTTCTCTCTGGTTGCTCTCCCTCTGTCTCTCTCTGGTCTTCCTCTGCTGCTTCTCTGGTTTCTCGATCTGACTCTCTCTGCTCTGTTTTGTCTTTCTCTCTTCTCTCTCTCTCTCTCTTGGTTTTTCTCTCTGGTCTCTCTTCTCCATATTTGGTCTTTCTGGCCTCTCTCTAGTCTCTCTCTCTGGTCTCTCTCTGGCCTCTCTCTGGTCTCTCTCTTGGTTTCGCTCTGCTCTCTCTTTCTGCTCCATATTTGGTCTTAAGCTCTGCTGTCTGTGCTCTCTCTAGTCTCTCTCTCTTTCTGAGCTCTCTCTGGTCTCTCTCTCTGGTTTATTCACTAGATTAAAACAGC